CCTCAAGTGATCCGCCTGTCTTGGCCTCCTAAAGTGTTGGAATTACAGGCATGAGCCTCCGCGCTCGGCCTATTTTTCTGTTTTTAAAAATTCTGTGAGCAGTGAGGAGTTCCAGGGCAGGCCCTGACTCCTCCAGACACACCATTTACACCTGAATCTCTGGGATGGGACCCCTCCCTCCTGCCCAAGAGTCCCACTACTTCACTACTTAACTTTCCTATTGTGAAATATAATACGCCCCAAAGAGTATAAAATATAAATGTACAGTTTCACAAATTATCATAAAGCCAGTGCCCATGTAACAACTACCCAGGTTACCATCCTGGCTAACACGGTGAAACCCCGTCTCTACTAAAAAATACGAAAAACTAGCCGGGCGAGGTGGCGGCGCCTGTAGTCCCGGCTACTTGGGAGGCTGAGGCAGGAGAATGGCGTAAACCCGGGAGGCGGAGCTTGCAATGAGCTGAGATCCGGCCACTGCACTCCAACCTGGGCGACAGAGCCAGACTCCGTTTCAAAAAAAAAAAAAAAAAAAAACCAACTACCCAGGTTAAGAAATGGAGGCCGGGTGCGGTGTTCCACGCCTGTAATCCCAGCACTTTGGGAGGCCGAGGTGGGCGGATCACCTGAGGTCAGGAGTTTGAGACTAGCCTGGCCAACATGGTGAAACACTGTCTCTACTAAAAATACAAAAATTTAGCTGGGCAGAGTGCGCATGTCTGTAGCCCTAGCTACGCGGGAGGCTGAGACGGGAGAATCACTTGAACCCAGGTTCAAGATTGCAGTGAGCTGAGATCAGCCTGGTGTGACACAGGCAGGCTCTGTCTGAAAGAAAAAAAAAAAAAAATTGAAAGTAGTCATTTTCCCCTAGCCTCTGCATGTCTTTTTCCAGGAGAGACCCTCTTGCTCTAACCATGCTCCCAAATGCACCTAATCTCACTCATTTGATTTGCTTATGGTTTTGCCAGCTAAACTACGCATCCCTAAACAATATAGTTTAGTTGTATCCCTCTTTTTGCACTTAATTTAATTTAATTT